CCCCCCCAGCTGCCCCCATCCAGCCGCTGCTGAAACTGACCAGCGGCTGACTCCAGGAAGCCCGAGGCAGAGCTGCTCTGCTCCGGCTTCCTAGAATCAGCCCCTGATCGGTTTCAGCAGCGGCTGAATGGGGACAGCTGGGGCAGAGAAACTGGGGCGCTGCGGGGTTGGTCCAGTAGCGCCGAGGAGCGGCGCTGCGGGACCAACCCGGCAACACTCCAGCTGCTTTGCTGCAGGCGTCCCCGATTCAGCTACTGCTGAAACTGACCAGAAGCGGCTGAATCAGGGATGCCTGGGGCAGAGCCGGACTATCGGAAGGGGGGGCTATGAGGGGTCTGTGGTAGCATCCCCCCCACCCCAGACCTCTCATAGCCCCCCTTCTGATAGTCCGGCACCCCCTGGGTCTTAAAGGTGCCGGATTATCGGAAGTTTACTGTACTACATTTTCCTGTTCACTAGTTTATCTGAAGACTGCCAAGATTTTACAGCTGTTAAATCCTTCCCCTCTCAGTATGTTCCACAATGTCTATTTAGAATAACATGATTTATAGTTGCCTCTTCCTTTTTACCGTTTTGATGGTTGTTTGCGAGAGTAGTTTGCTGATTCCTTTACACCCAAATATTAGTGGTGATAGTACAGCCTGTGCTTGGCTGCCTTCCTCTTTATTCACATGATATCCAGCGTAGTGATAACTTAGAAATGTTCTTTCAATATGTTACCTACTCCACACACAAAATCATTATGCTGCATTCCTAACTGTGTTTCCTTTAAGTACTTCTCTAGTGAGCATTTTCTAAGTGGAAACAATTCCATTAGCAGCTAGCAGCTATTTGTTTCCTGCCCTTCAGCCAATTTTCATTCCAGTGTGCCAATTTTCTCTATATGCGTAGACATTCATCTATAGTGTGAAACATTATTTTCTCCCAAAATATAGTATCTGTTCCTATTACCCACTGTGGCTTCATTGTTGCCATAGCAGCTCTGCTTTATACATGCGCACACATACACACCAACAGGTTGAATAGGTATGCTCTCTTCTTACTTACACTAAAGAGGTTGTCTGTTAATTAAACTCTGCCTAAGTGTTCACTGCTTGATTTTCTAAAATAGCTTTTAAGACCTCCTTGGTATGTAATTTTTCCTCTAGGTTTCTAAATGCTATGGTTATTTTCAGAATTGACTAAAAGGTTTTGCCAATTCTTTTTTCAGCTATGTTAGAATTAATCTATTGATGCTTACCTCACTGGGTGTTAATGTTTAAAATTCACTTTGCAAAACAGTCAAAAACTTAGTTAATCAAATAGCAAATAAATGCCCATATTTTTGTGTGCGTGATTGTAAATAGCATCCTTTTCACGATTTAAAGACTACATTGGTATATATTGAATCTGACCTATTTATTCTGAAGTCCTATAAACACAGAGCAGAGTGAATTCTAATACATTTTATATTTTTACTTCAAAATATTATAAAGACATACAAATTACACTCTGATATTAATCATATTTACTGTCCGTCGCCCTGATGTAAATACAGAGTAATTCCATGGAAGTCGTTGGCCTGAGTAAATAACGAAAAACAGAAATTGTCCTGTATGTAAAATAAAATGTTCACTAACATATAGGACTGCTATCTAATTTGAACTGCATTTTGTATAAGTGACTGATAGTAAAGACTATTTATTTCTAACACTTAAGCTTAGTCGACTTGTTCTCAAGTGTTTTTGCATTCTTCCCAAGCAGATTTTCAGAGCTTTAGATATTAATGCACAGTGTAGCTTCCCAGAGTATGTTCTCACATGATGCCATACTAACAGTTCACTCTCCATTTTAAAAATTGCATTGAGGCTTCTTCATATTTTGAAAACTGCAGTAGCAGTGAAAACTACTTATGCTGTAATTTCAGTCTTTGAAATTTTGGAGACAGTTTTCCCAAAACAAAAAAATTGGAAGGCTTTGTATGTGAATGAGGTGAGCTCCTTTTTACCTTTTCTAATTCAGAATATTTGAACAGTATTATTTAGGTATGTGAAAGAGTAGTCAACTAGGCAATTAATCGATAAACCTAGACTTATCGGTTAATTTAGTCAGCTACTCGCATTTCCCCCACCCCTTGCCACCTGTATATCAGAGGCAGCGGTGGGGGGAGCCAACTATAAACCATTAGGCACCGCTGTGCCTATCAGAGGCAGCAGGGTAGGGAAGGGTCAGGGGATGCAGCTTAGCATGTAGCAGACTCTGCCCATGGCTAGCTTGGGCCTGCCACAGAGAGAGACTGGTCCCTGGTAGCAGTCCCTGTCTGCAGGGAGCTCAGAATCCCACATGTACAGGGGCTGTTGTCACCCCACACTGCTGCCTCTGAATCAAAGGCAGCAGATTGGGATGGAAAGCAGATGATCTGCAAAGGGAGCTGGTTTTTAAATTGGCTCCCCTCTGGACCAGCTCCCGCCTGGCACTCCGCACTGCTGCCCCCACCCCCGAGGACTATAGAATAGTCGATTAATTGCTAAGAATTCATTCAGGAAATTGAATATTCTATAACCCAATGGTTAACATCCCTATTATTATTACAGTAAGGTCTGATTCCATAGCAAAGGGAGACAGAAAATGGGTGTAATGTGGGACATTGAGGAAGAATTTATGTGACTTCAAAAAATCAAAGTGAAACCGATAATCTGGCTTTAAGAACATTTGAGACCACAAAGCCATCCAGGTTTAGGAACATTTGCACGTTCACTTGTACTAAAAGAGAAGTCTGTCTAAAAAAGGCATCTCTCACTTCTGTCCCTACAGATTTACAAGTATACAGTCATCAAGCAAACGCCCAAGGGCTAAATCCTGGATCTGAAATTGAGAATTTAATTTTCTAGTAGTTGAAGATACACAATTCATGCATTTAAGATCCTATGAACACTTTAGCCTTGTATACTTATGTAC